CATATCTGTCGTCATACCCCTCCCTCCCAACCCTTACCATGGCGCAGGTCTCCTCTTGATGCGCACAGGCTGATGTCGAGCAAGGCAATGATCCCGAGAGGGTTTGCGATGCATGGTAAAGCAAGGCGTAGCATGGTGTAGAAAAGCGCGGCAGAGCAGAGCACGTCATAGCATGGCTTGGCATTGCGTAGTGTAGCAATGCATCACAAACCGTAACGTGGCAAAGCATGGCATCGCACAGCAGAGCACAATGCAACATCGCATTGCATGCCATGGCATGGCACCGGATGCCTTGGAGGGTAAATGGCCCGTGTGCGAAAGGAGCAGGCCTGTCCGGAATCCTGGCTCCATGTCCTGCGCAACCGTGCCTGCCCGATGTGGGCGCCTTCGACTGCCAAGTGCCGTGTGGTAGGGGCACTGTAGTAGCGTGAGGCCCCCCCTTTCCTTTCGACACGCTGCCTTGCGTTCCCCGAGCCCCCTTCCAAGTCTCCGTGGGCTCCCCAGACAGCTCTGCACGAGACGTGGCGGATGGCCCGAATACTTCCTGCAACCTCCAGGGAACGCACAGAAATTGCCGACGGCGACACCGACGCAGACGACGACGGCGGCGGCGGTGGGGGAAGCTGCGGCGGGCGCGGACGGATGTCAGGAATAGTACGGCGGGCTGCCAGGCTCGACGGTCTGGCTTCCTTGAACGAGTGGCTCACACTGGGCCCCTGGACACCTCACGGGGTCAAGTCGGATCGGCGTTTTCCATCCGGATCGTTTTGTAAGGTCCTGGGGGGGCTTCTGCGGCCCCAAAAATCAACGAATCGAATCGACACCCAATGTGGAATCACTTCCGATGGTTTTTTCGGGGGGCAATTTTGTAGATTTGGGGGCCTATTTGGATGGACCGATAACCATGCCGTGGCATGGCGCTGGAAATAATAACGCCAGCGCTGCAGCGGGAGCACGATTCGGAACGAGCGGAAGCGCGGAAATGAGGCCAGCGCTGCCGCGGGAACGCGATTCGGAACGAGCGGTAGCCCGAAAATGAGACCAGCGCTTCAACGAGAGCAGCATTTTGAAAAAAACAGCGAAAGCCCAACTCCCGGGAATCCTGTCTGCAAAAAAAAAGTACGCGGAGGGGGGCCGGACATATCCCAGACGACACCAGGGGAGAGAGGGGAGTAGTATGTTGAGTAATTGAGAGGAGGCAGGAGGAAGGACGAGGGGGACGAGGAGGAGGAGAGAGAGAGAGAGAGAGCAAGAAGAGGGGCAGGAGCAGGAGCAGGAGACGGAGGGTGGAAGAGAAGGGAAAGGATAGGGGGGGGATGTTGCGACTCGCGGCTTCGCAGTGGGTGCGTGCTCGATACGTGCTGCCGCGCCTCACTGCTGCGGCCAAGATCCACAGGCAGGAGGTTGTAAAACATATAAAAAGATCGAAGAAGAAAAAACGGCATAAACATAAACTTTTGGCGCTCCGCGCGGATTTCTTGGATCTGCGCTGGGCCCCCCTGTCGGCGCCGCCCTTGGCGCGCTCCGCGCGCCAGGGAGGGGTGTCCATCGGCATGACTTGGCATCGCTCACACATGTGTATGCTTTCGGCGAGGACCATCGAGGAGCATTCTGGTTCATCTTGTAAGAAAGGTGGCGCACGACACCGAAACATGCACGGGGAATTGACATCGGAGCAATGGCAAGATGACGAGAGGCAGATCGGAAGGCTATGACCTGCGTCGAAAACACAGTGCAAAGCTGCGGCGATGGCAGAACTTCGGCCTAAGCGGAAAAGAGACACTGCACTGAAGGGCCAAGTGGTGCAAGGGTAGCGGCAAGCGCCAAACAAGTGAAGCACCACTGAAAGGAGAGCGTGCAAGACGGAGAACCGTGGCACGGAGACAGCACATCCAAGCACAAGCGGGCAACGGGGGCGACCCACTGGGAGAAGCCGGAAGAGCAGCCGGCAGGGGAACGGTGTTGGGGGCGACCCACAGCGAGGTAGCGCTGAGGAGCAGCACGTGCAGAGGCCTGCGACTGCTCCAGAGAAGCGGGGACACGGCCCCGGCCCCCGCCGAAGAAGACAGGATCAGCTCGGCTGGTGGCGGGGGGGGAGGCCCACCTCGGGCGGAGCGGGAGCTCCAGGGTAAAGAGCAGGAGCGGCGGGGGCGACCCACGGAGAGGAAGGGGAGACCGTGCCGTGCGTCGTCACACTCCAACGGCGGGACAACGGGATGTTGCAAGCTGTTCCTGACCGCGTGCGTTCGCATCTACACGGCGACACCACCTCGATTAACAATCCCCGCCCCCTACATTTCAATGTTGGCATCAAGCGAGCACCCCAAGCCCAGGTGGACAAAGTAGTACAAGTCAGTATTGAAATGTGGGGGGGGGGAGTTCCTCAGAGATCGATGGAATCTAATCCAAGTTGGCACGCTGTTTCTCAGAACGCTCAGATAATTTGCGAGATTTGGTCCACCAGCTGAAGATGCCGACGACCGTTGAAAACATGCGCCGCCAAAGCCGACTCCTGAGCGGGGGAGCGGGTTGGCCAGGGGAGGCCCCGCCACGCAGCAACGGGTATTCGAGGAAGCCCTTAGCCTTGGCATCGCTCGGACGTTTGCTGCCTTAATTCTCGGAGAGGACCATCGAGAATCATCTTGGATTATCGTGCGAAAAATAAACGAAAGAAGCTGAACAATGCACGGGGAATGGACGTCCGAGCGATGGCAAGCAACTGGGAAGACAGGTTTGAGCAGAGTTGAAGTGTGACAGCAAAAGAGATCAAAACTGGTAAGCCTGTCGAGAGAATGCCGTACGGACATGCACGGGTCTGAGCACTGTGCGCAAGGACAGGCTGCAGTTGGCCCGTCACAGCACTGTCAGGAGAGGTCAGACCGTCTTCGGTGCTAGGAGCAGCTGGATCGCCTGTACGCGACAAAGTACTAGATGAGTCTGCGAATATATCTCCTCTGCACAAAAGTCAACGATGCTGGGAGCGGCGCGACTCGACCGAATGACCAAAAGAGCACATCGACTATGAAAGCTGGTGGTGGTCCCGGGCGACTCCACCAAAAAAGAAGAGGCGTGAATATTGGATCGGTCGAAGCTCGCCTATTAATGCAAACAGAGGACGCAGAGCAGTGCCGAACTGGTCGGGCCACAGCTGGAGCCACAGCTGCGTCGCTAATCACAGGCCTGGGCAAAGCATGCTGGCACACGAGGGGGCCGGCCGCACTTGTGCATCGACCTCGCGGCGGCTCGCCAGGAGAGGACCCTGGCGGCGGCGGCGAGGGCGGGCAGACGGACGACCCTTTTGCGGTCTGCCTCTCCGCTGCGGCGGGGGGGGGGGGTCCCGAAGGTCTCCCCTCCGCCGGGCGGAGACCCCGACAACAACCAACAACTGGAGCCATGACTGCGACTTGCTCTCCGCACGAGGCGCCGGAGCCTTCACAGCCACGCCCAGTGCTCCTGGCCCGGAAGTGCACGCCGCCTCGGAGATGCCGTGGCACGCCGGCGGGGGCAGAACCTGAGCAGGAAGAAGACGAGGTGCGTGGGCCGGCGTCGGCACTGGCACACCGGCAGGGCGGACCTCGTGCGCCCCCTCCCTCCAGCGCGGGGCAGGCCGCCGCCTCGGCCGCGGCATCGCGCGGAGGAACACGTCGGCGCCTCCGCCAGCGCCGTGGCCGGGGCACGGCCCAGCCGTGAAGGCTGCCGGCCACCGTGGCTCGAGAGAGCCGCGAAGGCGAGCACCCGGTGCTCAGCCGCGCGGGCGCCGGCACGTGGGTGCTGCGCGCGCCGCGCTGCGGCCGGCCGCGGCGGCCGGCGACGGCGCCCGCGCGGCAGCAGGCCACGCCTCCATCTCGCCGCCGCTCAGAGGAGGGGCGGAGGAGGGGCGGGAGCAGCGCAGGGGGCGCCAGTGGCGGTGGCTGGCGGGGAGCTGATGCTCGTGCCAGCTGGCGCTGAAGGAGGGAGGAGAAGCGAGGGAGGAGAAGGGAGGAGAAGGGAGGAGAAGGGAAGTGGGGGGGTATGGAGCAGGGAGGGAGGAGAAGGGAGGGAGGAGAAGGGAGGGAGCAGAAGGGAGGGAGCAGAAGGGAGGGAGCAGAAGGGAGGGAGGAGAGGGGAGGGCAGGGAAGTGGGGGGGTATGGAGAGCAGCGAGGAGGCGATGGGGGGAGGCGCAGGAGGAAAAGTACATGGGCACAGCAGGGAGGAGGAGCGTGCGCGTCCCCACCTGTGGCCCGCCGTGCGCTTGGCAGCGGAGTCCCTCGAGGAACTGCGGTAGCGGTAGAGCGGGGTGGCCCATGCCAAGAAACGCCCTGCTGGCCTCCCGGGTGCCCTGGGTTTCTTGCGTGCTGATGGTCTTGCCGTGGAAAGCGTGACGCTCCCGCACCAGAAATCGATGGACGTCCTGGGGTCTCAGGGTTGGGTTTCTTGTGGAAGGTTTCTTGTGGTCGGGCCCCCACTGTAGCAGTTTTGCTGCAAGGGGGGGAGGGGACGGGGAACGAGGATGAGGAGGATCGTTGGGAGCAAGCCCGCTTACTCCTCATCCTCAGTCTGTCTCCTCCTCATCCTGCTCGTCCCAATCCTCATTCTCCAATGGGTGAGTCTCCGAGCTCCCAACGGTCATCTTCAGCGCCCAGCCCTTCCAGAATTTCAGCACGCATAGCATACAGTACTGTCGTGACCGGCTGTTCGTTTCCACTTTCAGTTCGAAGGTCGTCGTCGTCGGTCGTCGGCGGCGGCGTCGTCGTCGTCGTTGCCCGCCCCCTCGCCCCCGATGAGGATGAGGAGGAGGAGGAGGTGGAGGAGGAGGAGGAGAGGGAGGGGGGAGGGAGGGAGGGAGGGAGGGAGGGAGGGAGGGAGGGAGGAGGGAGGGAGGGAGGGAGGGAGGGAGGGAGGGAGGGAGGAGGAGGAGGAGGAGGAGGAGGAGGAGGAGGAGGAGGAGGAGGAGAAGGAGGAGGAGGAGGAGGAGGATGGAGGAGGAGGAGGAGGATGGAGGAGGAGGAGGATGGGCCAGGCCAGCGTGGAGGATGCAGCGGGGCTGGCCGCCACGGCGGTGAGCACGGTGCCCGTGGCTCGCGTTGCGGCCCCAGTGGCCATCCATGCAAGGTTCGCGGCCACGGATCCCGATCCCATGGCCGAGTGTTGATACGGGTGTCGGAAACAAGTAGCATATGGCGTGAGCTCCCCCCCCTCCCCCCGAGTGCAATGTTGGGCTCGGGTCTTCCGAGTTTGAGTGTCGGACCGGTGTTGCGTAGACGTGGCAGCTTCGAATTGCGGGGGGAGGGGGAAGTGTTGCTTAATTTGTTCCCTCAGCTGTAAGGTCATGTCCTATTGGGCTCTTCTTCACCATCGTCCTCTCAAGTGTTCTCCTACGGCGTCTTCCCCAGGGGGAGATTTCAGATTTCTTTGGGGCGCGCGCGCCCTGTACTTGACTCTGCCGTTTTGCATTTTGAGTGCTGTAGCAATCGCGGTTACTGCCCCCCGACTTCCCGCTGCTCCGAGGACAGCCAATTGCATGGACAATGGGCTTCCCCATCCCACGTGTGGGCAAGCGGAAGGGGGGAGTCCGAATCTTATTGTCGTTGTGGTCGTCAGTTTCATTCGCCGTCTTCCTCCATCGGTGCCCCGACAGACAGGTGAGAGTCGAAGTTGACACGTTGCGCGCTCGTCTGCCCGATGCGGACGCGTGCGCCGTCTTGCCAGATTGAGCTGGTTATCCCGGTATGCGGCCATCTCACGCAGTGACCGCAAGATTCAGGCGCTGCAGGGGAGCCTTAACACAAACCCCCGACGTCCACCTGTGAACCTTCCTGAGCTTGCTGACCGCTGCCCCTCGGTTTTCAACCAAGGCTGGCGTGAAGCGGTCACGGCCAGTCGCCCGCGAATCCGCGCGGCGGGTCGCAAGGACGACAGGTGACGACGAGGGCTTGCGAGGCGTGCCTCGGACACCCGGAGGCCCGCGCCCCTCGTCAAAAATTGCGGCGTGGACGACGTGCGGCGGCGATCCCAAGGCCTTCCGAGGCTTGCTGTGGAAAGCCATACAGTCAACATTGATAGTAAGGCTGAGCAACTTTCCAAAAGGCTTCCCTTGCATCCTTCCTCTTCGGCCCATCATTGGCCACTTTCGTTGGCCGCGCCCCGCTCGAAAAGTGTCGGATGCATTCTTATCGTGCGTCATTATTATCAGTTTTGACTGCACCCCGCACCTTCCATGTCAAAGAGCATGGCGCGGACGAAGGCGATAACGCCCCAGACGTCTTCCAAAGCTTGCTTCCGAAAACCCGAGGGCCACCAACGAACATAAGGCGCAGACGACGCGGGGCGATGATCCGGGCGCCCTCCGAGGCTTGCTTCGGACGCCACGAGGCGTGCTCTCTGACAAGATTCTCGCGCGAACGCCGTTCGGCGACGATCCCAAGGCCTTTTGCGAGGCGTGCCTCGGACACCTTGGGGCCCATCTTCCTCATGATGCCCTCCTCGAACCCTCTCGAGTGGGTCTCGAGGCTCGCGTGGGGCTCTCGTTGGTTGGGACACCTCGGGGCTCGAGAGGCCCAATGTAATGTAGCCCGCCAGGGCGAGAAGGCCAAAAGCACAGCGATACGGTGAGCTTCGACGACCTGGGCCCACCCGCGCCTTCCGAAGGAGCACATGTTCGGTCATCTTTAGGTGTGCTTGGTCCACGGGGCTGTTCTGAGATATCTTGGGGCCACTTGGGGGCCACCAGCGCGCCATTTTGGGACGTCTTGGGGGTCACTTCTGGACCGTCTCAGGGCCTGGCGCCTACTCCTCCTCCTCCTCCTCCTCCACCTCCCTTGGTCGGAGCAATGTGAAGGGCCTCCTTGGGCGGCATTGGGGCCCTCTTGGGGCCGCCCCGGCGCCCGAAAAGCCCGTCGGGGGCCGCTTCCGTAGCCATTTCGGCTCAATCAAGTTTGGATCGAGCTGTTTTGCTCGAGCTGTGGTTCCAGATCCATCCCAAGGCCAAGCTCGTTTTACCAGGAATTGGCTGGACAACAGGTTGCAACGCTCCCATGGGGCAATCCCTCCCATGGAGCAATCACAAGGCAGTCGTAATATCTTGCAAGTACGACGACGTAAATAACGAGGAGAGGATCGAAATTGCTGGAGCCGCCGCTATAGTGATGGGGATTGTAGTCGCAGACGCTTTTCCGATTCTTGCTGGCATGGCAATTTGTGCAGGTGTCGCTGGCATGGGTTGTAAAGTGGTCGGCAAACGGGTTTACCGCGAGAATGCTGAAAAAGCTTCTAGAGTCATTAGGGCAGCGAAACCACTCGGAGAGCGTAATGCCAGATCGATGCAGCCTGGAGGTGCATATTATCCGAACCGATATGCTAAGCAGAAATGCTGTCAGAGTCTTGAACAGTACAAGCGCGACGGCGTGACTCCCCATCCGAGCTACAATCCGTATTGCAGACCGTGCACGAGGGACCATCTCGACTCGTGCAACGGAGCACGCGGCATTTGCCAATGGACGTTTCCAGAGACTGTGGACAGACCGATCGAGGCGTGTTGGCGGTCTTCATTCCGCGACCACCTCTCCTCTGTCGCCAGAGATCCTAATGGTGCAGTTTTCGTTCAAATCGTTGATAAAGATGAAACGACGGGTCGGTTAACCCTCGGGGACGGTCAAAAGGAAGAGGTCTCGTGGGCCATCGATCTTGGCATTGAGATATGGCATACAGTTGACGGACAGAACTTCGCCATTGGAGCTTGGTCTGGTTGGCTCCCTTGATCGTGCTGTACCCATAGAGCGCCGGTGTGTCGCACAGCTTGTGCTCAACGTGTCTGCGGGCCTTGTTTTGCCATAACCGAACACATTGGAAGCACGATGATACATATTACCCCAGTGCGACCCTACCTAGAAATTGGAGCCCCTAGGAAAGCAGCATTAGTTGCTATGCTGTGCTATGCCATGCTATTCTGCGCTATGCTATGCTATGCTATGCTATGCTATGCTGCGGTATGCAATGCTATGCTATGCTATGCTATGCTATGCTATGTCATGCTGCTCTGTGCTATGCTAAGCTGCGCTATGATATGCTATGCTATGCTAAGCTGCGCTATGCTATGCTATGCTATGATATGCTGCACTATGCTATGCTATGCTATGCTATGCTATGCTATGCTATGCTATGCTACGCTTGGCTATGTTATGCTCTGTTATGCTATGCTAATGCAGCGCTGCGCTATGCTAAGCTACGCTAAGCTAGCTAGCCCTCTAGGCAGAGCCTAGGTAGGGAACTTTGCTTTGCTTTGCGTTGCTTGTGCTTTGCTTTGCTGTCGCTGCTGTTGCTTTGCCCTTGCTTTGCTGCTGTGCTATGCTCTGCTATGCTATGCTATGCTATGCTGCGCTGTGCTGTGCTGCGCTATGTTATGCTATGCTATGCAATGCTGCGCTATGCTATGCTAGACTGGGCTATGCTATGATATGCTATGCTACGCTATGCTATGCTGTGCTCTGCTATGCTAAAGCTCAGCGAAGCTAAGATGAAGGTGAACTAAGCTAAGATAAACCTGAGCTAAGATGAAGCTAAGCTAAGTTAAGATGAAATAAGCAAATATAAGATGAGATAAGCAACGCTAAGCCAAGGAGACGTAACTGGGGGAACCGCGGGGCGGATGCCGGGGGAACCGCCCGGGGCGGGGACCACTGCCCGACCCTTCAAGCACATAGAGTAAGAACCCTTCTAGGCAGAGCCTAGGTAGGGAACAAAGAACGTTGAGGCTGCAGGGCGAGCAGCCCAAACTGGATCAAAGAGCGTGTGTTGTTCGATTATGGTGGCAATCTCGGGAGCCTCCGAGGAATGGCCATTCGGCCAATTGCGGCCGTCTTGGTGTCAGTCAGGCTGGCCTGGACCATTGGCAATGCTAGGGCCATCTTGGTAGCATCTTGAGATCAGGTCGGGGCCAGCATGAAGCCTGACGCGCACGCAATGGCCCGCGCTCTTGGGGAGCTCCTGGAACGCCTCCGCACGCTCCGGGGGTGCCTTGGCGCGACTTTGGGCCTCGGGACTTGCGCGCGCAGAATCGCATTCTGCCTTCCTAGGCATATTCCGACATTTTCTCTAATCTATATTATTTTCCATGCCGTTCCGAAAGATGATGACCAACATGTACTCCGTGGCACAACCAGTCTAGATCATGTCCGGAATCTTTTTTCTTGGTGAACGCGGAACGTAGGATTTGTTAATTGATGGTTTGAAGAACAAAGTATTATTGCGAAGGCCTGACGGCCGGTGCCGCCGACCCTGTTCGCAATGCGCAGCAAGAGATTACGAGGTTGCTCAAGGTCGGTTTGGCTGGAGCCCAGGGGAAGAGGAGTCCCAGGGGGGGGCGTCGTATCTGACCCGGGGGGGGGGTCGCTACCCCCCCCCCTCCCGGCGGGGGAGGGATCAAAGGGAAGGGGCTTCCCTTCGACTCAATTACGAGGTTGCTCAAGGTCGGCTTGGCTGGAGCCCAGGGGAAGAGGAGTCCCAGGGGGGGGCGTCGTATCTGACCCGGGGGGGGGGTCGCTACCCCCCCCCCCCTCCCGGCGGGGGAGGGATCAAAGGGAAGGGGCTTCCCTTCGACTCAATTACGAGGTTGCTCAAGGTCGGCTTGGCTGGAGCCCAGGGGAAGAGGAGTCCCAGGGGGGGGCGTCGTATCTGACCCGGGGGGGGGGTCGACACCCCCCCCCCCCTCCCGGCGGGGGAGGGATCAAAGGGAAGGGGCTTCCCTTCGACTCAATTACGAGGTTGCTCAAGGTCGGCTTGGCTGGAGCCCAGGGGTTGCTCAAGGTCGGCTTGGCTGGAGCCCAGGGGAAGAGGAGTCCCAGGGGGGGGCGTCGTATCTGACCCGGGGGGGGGGTCGCTACCCCCCCCCCCCTCCCGGCGGGGGAGGGATCAAAGGGAAGGGGCTTCCCTTCGACTCAATTACGAGGTTGCTCAAGGTCGGCTTGGCTGGAGCCCAGGGGAAGAGGAGTCCCAGGGGGGGGCGTCGTATCTGACCCGGGGGGGGGGTCGACCCCCCCCCCCCTCCCGGCGGGGGAGGGATCAAAGGGAAGGGGCTTCCCTTCGACT